GGGCAACATTAACACAAAGTCCACTTCAAGAGACAAGGAAAGGCTCAACAACAAATGGGAATACATTTGTGCTCTTCTAAGAGTGAAAGAAAATGCAAAAAGCCTTCCATAGGAAGGCTTCTTACTGTCACATGTCTCTGCTTTAAATCAAACCAGGGTGAATGAATTAGGGGACAGGGAGGCCATATTACCTAACTGAAAGCAGAGAATAATCATTCTAGTTGTCTGTAGCATCCCTCACAGTCTGGGGCAGAGGAATGGAACCATCAGGTCAGACTTTGCAGGAGTTAAGCTGTATGGGCTTTAATGAGGACATCTGCACTGAGCCATGTGGGGAAGGACAAAAGGTGAACAGGCACAAAGAACAGAAAGCAAAGCCGTGGAGTGACAGGGCAATGGCTTGCAGGGGAAGAAATTTTCCAAGAGAAGATAAAAATAAATAGTTCAGCAACATCTGCTCCTAAATGTGCCACTTATAACTATAACAAAATAACTATCCTAACCCAAGATGAATGGCTGAAATGGAGCCAGAGTAAAAGACAGGCCTAGAAAAGGGTGGGCTGAATCTATGTGTACTGTCTTCAGCCCTGGCCAACCTGGTCCACCCCAAGTTGAATAAATTCCACATCCCAGAGTGGGTTCTATCCAGAGCTGCTGCTGGCAGCTGTTCTCCCAGCAGCACGGGCAGACAAATTCATGGCATTACTGGGCTAGCAGCTGCTACAGCTCTGGGGGAAGTGACAAGTGCCTGCTGAGAATGAACTATTCTGGGACCAGTCACAGAGTCAGCAAAATTGAGGCCTCAGTTTGCTGGCTGAATGAAGATACAGTACACTTCCTACTCCAAAGTTTAGAAAACCAAAAATCGCTTCCTCTGTTCCAGATTGTTTGACTCAAGTGGCTCCTGCCTTCACATTTTGCTCCATCTTTTTTATTCCCAAGGGCATGACAACTTCTGCATTGGCTCATACTACCCTCCCCACTGGACAACCACACCTCTCTGCTATGTCCTTTCACCTAGTCTTTCTAAAGCATGGACATAATTCAGTTCCTTGCTCAGAAATTGTCAATGGCTCCTTTATCCTTACAGAACAAAGCCCTAACCCTATAAACCAGTATTATAAACCTTTGTAATCTTCTGGCTTACCAACTTTTCCAGGTTTATTTAGTATTACAGTTATAATTCATATTTTTCAGAAAATCAGATAAGTTTTCCACCAGCCATGTTTTTCTCACCTCTGGGTTGTTGGTAACACTGTTTTCTCTCTAAAATGCTTCTTTCCCCATCTCTTCATTCTTCTCCAAGTGCTTGCATTGTCTTAATTAAGTCGATTATTTAGGGACAATACATAGCATTAGCAGATTCCTTTTTCTATTCCTATCCATTGAACTTCCCCTTCAAAAGGCTCTTCTCCAGGCCTCTGAGCAGAACAAATCACTCCTTCCTTTATGTGTACTATATATGGTCAAGGAGCATCATTTTTTCACACACCTGCCCTTCCATACACCATGACACTTAGGAAATGTTGCAAACACTGTCCCTCAATATCTCTTCCCTTCTATACTGAGAGAAACTCTACTTTCTAGATCACCCAAGTTAATAAATGTATTTTCTAGTTTCCCTTACAGTGCAACATAACCATGTATCTAAGTTCTGTCCAGCTGGATATGAGTTAAAGGCATATATGTGCCACTTCCAGTCTATACCTTTAAAGACTAAAGACATGCTGCCCTCTTTTCCTGTTTCTTTTCCCAATGGATGAAATGGGACATGGTAGCAATGAGCTACTTTGGGCCATACAGCAATGGACACATTTTAGGAGTGGGATAAGAAGTCTGACACTGTCCTGACTGCCCAACAGGCTATTATCTACAGAAAAATCTACACCTATCTTGTATATGCTATTGTTACTTAAGGTCTACTATAGCAGCCACACCTATCTTAACCAAACTAGTCATGCTTAAAATGCCTTTAAATATCTCCTACCCCTGCCTCAAAAGGAAGAAAGAAAGGAAGGCAGAAAGAAAGAAAAGAAGAAAGAAAGAAAAGAAAAAGCCAAAAATTTTGGTGCTATGTATAAAATCCCAACACAGTTGCAGGGACACAGCTGTCTCCACAGCAATGCTTACAGTACACAAACATGGAAGCACTTGGCTATCTTCTGTAACACAGAAATGAGGGGAAGACAGGAAATTGAAGGTTCCATCACTAGTGCTATACTGAGAAGTAGAGGTCTCATCACTGCATCAGTGAGACAAAGCAGAAGTTAGCATGGACCCTTCAGATGCTCACTGAACTTTTCAAAGTAGATCATAGGTGTAATTGTGGAAAAAGAAGAATGAGAGAAAAGGTATAAAGGCTGAAAAATATCAAATGAAGGATAATTTAGACTTTCATATATACACTTATAAGAACAAAAGCCATTTATTCCATGTAAAACAGGAAGACTCTTAACTATCTGATTTTGTTGACATTTTTAGGAATAAATTAGTCTGAACACAGGATGTTGCCTAGAGCTCTTGTTGAGGTTTTCTCCATCTTATCCTTATTAAGTGCATTTGTTCAAATGACTCATCTCTTCTTGTAGTAGGCTGTGCCATGTGAGAATGCTATTATGTGAACATTTTTGACCTACAAAAACTAGCATTTCAGATGTTCCATTCTGAGAGAAGAAAGCTTCTTGTTTTCAGACTCCTTTAAAAAAAAAGAACTATCTCGTGTGTGTGTGTGTGTGTGTGTGTGTGTGTGTGTGTGTGTGTGTGTGTGTGTGTGTGTGTGTTGTGAATGAATACAGTACCCACAGAGGCCAGAAGAGTGGAATAGACTGCTAGAGATACAGATGGTAATGAGCTGCCTGACATGGGTCTAGGAAAGAAACTTGGATCTTCCCCAAAGCAGCAAGCACTCTTAACCACTGAGCTGTCCCTCCAGCCTTCCAGCTCCTCTTATTCTGTTTTGTTTCTCTCAGAATGCCTTGAACCCAAAGTTATTAGTAAGAAACTGCTGAAACTGACTCGGATCAAGCTCTCCTTGAAACATTTCTAGCTCCCTGAGAGAGACACCATATCTTCCCACCTTTAACCTGCCTGGGAGGAGGGACTGACTCCTTTCCTTATTTTTTCCCAGCAGAACCACTTACTATCTCCTAACACTGGGAGGTCTCCTAAGCCTTAGATTTTTGGCTCTTGGTTCTTATCCTCTCTTCTACATTTACAGTATTATTTACATTAAAGATTTTAATAGGTATCCCTACTCAAAACCACTTAGCTCCACAGTACCACAACTCAACTTGAGTACCTAAAATCCTTACAATGCCTCAAACTCCTGCTCAAAGTAGAGTCACTATTTAAAACACCTGTTTCCTTCATGCCTTCATGTTATAAAGGACACCACAATTCTTTTGGTTGCCAGGTTAGAGATACCAGATACCAGAGATACCTTGAACCATTAAGATTCTTTTTATCCAGTCAGTTATCAAATGTTTTTTGTTTTTTTTTTTTAAATTTTTCAAATACCTCTTGAATAGTGCTAACATATAAGTTTGAGAGATCCACCAAAGGCTTTGTGTTAAAGGCTTGTTTACTGCTGTGGTACTACTTCTGGACAACAGCAGATCCTTTAAGAGGTAGGACATAGTAATAGGAGGTTAGGACACTGGGAGATTGTCTTTGATGGACTCCTAGCCCCACCCTCTCTCTGCTTCCTGAACATCATGAAGGAACAGGCCTCCTCCTCCACATGCCATGCACCACCTCCTTCCCCAAATCAGATCAAACTATGGACTTAGAACCTCTGGAATCATGAGGCAAAAACAAACACTTTTCCTCCTTATAGTTTATTTATCTTAGTTATTTGATCATAGCAACAGAAAGCTTACTAACTCAAATACATCCTTACTGCTCTTTTTTATATGCTATCCAATTCTACATGTACTACCCCCAAATTTAATATTCTTCTCTTGGATTAAAAAAATTATCTAATCTTCCCGTCCTTTTCCTCAGAGGCTCATTACCACGGGCACATCAAATATGACCTTCTATACTTGCTGTCAAAGCACTATCCTCTGGGACCCATTCTACTTACTTAACCTTGTTTTTCACAGTTTTTTGAAAATATCCATTTTCCCCCTATTTCTATTATTAAGGATTTGCTTATATAGTTTGCATGGTTCTTTTCCTTGTTAACTAAGCATTCCAAAGCTTACATTATTCCCATAGGAACCAGCACAGAGCACAGTACCTAGCAGGCATTTAAAGGGAGCTAAGAACTGGATTATTACTTAGAATAAGATAAGACAGGAATAAGCTGGAATGAATCAAGCACAAAATAATGGTCAAAGGAGGGTGGGAATGGTCCCCTTTTCTAGGTCCTTGCACCACCTGAATTACACATCCACAGTTCTCACTCCATCTTCAAATTACCTGACTACAATTTGTTTACTGCCCATCTCCTCATTCTAATTAAAAGGCCATGTGAAAAGGAAATGCTTGCTCTCGGCCATATCTTAAGGCACTATGAAGGAGTTCAAGGAATGAGCAACGGACATTAGTTGGATGAATGCTTAGCAATCTTCCCTTTGGGGCTAGCTAGGAAGACAAAGAGAATCAGCTGGCGTGGGAGGGAATAGGAAGGCATAGTATGATGGTATGATAGCAGAAGTAAATATAATTGAAATACAATTTATACATGTATAAATTGTTAGCCACATATATATATGCTAACACACACACACACACACACACACACACACACACACACACACCTCAGACTACTGGCTGACATACAAGAAAGGCTATAAAACTCATTAGCTTGGCTCCCCATTTATTCTGATCTCTCTTAGATAAGACTGATGTGCAAAAAGAAGAGTTCTTGAGGGCTTTCAACAAATTTGAAGCTGTAGGCTCAGGATGCAACCTGGATCTAAGTGGTGCCTCTTGCCTCCCTGCACCCCAGACCTCACTCTCAAAGTTTCTAAAAGCAACTGTCACAGAGTTCCTACTTAAATTGCTGGTCCTTGGTGCTTCGTGTCTTGGCTAGAAAGCGCTCAGCTAGCTTCTCCAGGTTTCGAGAATAATCCATTTCAATCTCAGCTTTCTTTCGGAAGAAGTCTTGCAGGTCCTGCAACAGCTGTACCCGGAGTTCACACTGCTGGTCTAGGCATTTCATCTGCTCTGTGAGCTGAGCCCGGATCTCTGTAAGAAAACAAAAGAATGTGGTCAGACAGACAGCTCTAAATATATACTGTACACAGATACTTACCTGCTTTTCATTCACTTGTTCCCTGTACCCTGGGATAGTAAAGCCCTTAATAAACAGCCTACAACTGAACGTGGCCAAATGATGTGAGGAACCTTTAATAACCTCCAACTCTTTTTGGACTACTCAAGACCAATCAAGAAGCTGTTCAAATCATTAGAATAAGTTGTATAATACACAAAATAATATCCAAAGCTAAATAATTACAAAGCAAGTTACTGTTTCTAACACCATCCAGAATTTGGGTTCTTTTCTGGCAAAATGAATGATCCGAAGAAATCATGTTACCCTATTTTAAAGATTGAATACTATTATTCAGTCTTTAAAGAAGACAAACTATTAAATCCCAGTAAGCTGGGATTCAAAGCCAGACAAATAACTATTTTTTTACACTTTTTTTCATCACTTCCAAATGTTTTTCAAAACAGGGTAAAGATCATTGTATTTTTATGGAGGTTGAAAGATGCCTTTTCAAGGGCAAATGGCAGCAATCAAGAATAAAACATGACTTCTAGAAAATCACATTCAAGGTCAATTGGTTTCATAGTTTCTAATATTACAGAATGTAAATCTTCAAGAAACTATCTTTAAAGCTGAAGGCGTAGTAAAATAGGAATAGTAAGTGACTTAGAAAGATCTTTCTGCCAGGTGGTGGTGGTACATGCCTTTAATCCCAGCACCTATAAAAGTGTGATTTGTTTTTAGATTAATAAATAAAGACACACCAAAAAAACCCCCTTCAAAAAAAAAAAAAAAAAAAAAAAAAAAAAGCCAAACAAACAAACAAAAACAAACACAACAAACCAAAAAAGCACGAAAGATCTTTCTTACTGGTATCTCACTTGTCCCATCCTCAGTGGCTTGATAGCCCCCTGCTCTGTCTGAGGTAAAACTATGTCCAGTTACACTCCTGCTTGGCAGATTTCCTACCAAGTCCTTGCATAGGACGAGCAACACTATCACTGTGGAACCAGAACAATGGCAGCTTCAGATGCAACTGGATCTGTCTCGAATACACTACATGTTTTACTGATAAGAGATTTGGCATTCGAGGCAAATAGACTTGCCAACACTGGGCTGCTTTCTTGCCCAGAGTAGGCCCACAGTGTATGTCCAGCTTATTTTACATCCAGTTCCCCATTAGCATCAAAATAGAGCAATTGCTTTCATCTCTTTTCTCTATCGGTACACTCACCTCAAAGCATGACTCCAAGTTGAGGATGAACGGAAGTGCCTATTATATATTATACCTTTCCTGATTGTGTTTCAAATTCATCTCCCACAGCACTGGCAGGTGGGGAAGGAGAAGAGTGAAGTTATCACCCGAGCTCTAGATGAAATTTTGGGATAAAGGCCATGAAATCTTCCAAACCACTGCTTTCTTAAAAGCGGTGAGGACTGACAAAGTTGCACTGGGTTTTACTTCTGAGTACCTGACGTCCAAAATCTATTCCCATCTTTATTGCTCTGTTTTTGCAGTATCAGTACATGACAGACACAGGTGGTCCTTTGTAGGTGACCCTAGGTAATATCTAAGAGCAATCTTCTTCTCCATCCCTGTCAGCCCTGCAGTAACCCAACCTGAACTGAAACTGAGCACTGCAGGATTGTTTCAAGCAAGCAGAATGCTTCACAGAAAAACTGCTGCCTACCTCATCACTCATCAAAGCTCTCTTGTTCTGTGTATTCTGGAGTCTGATTACAAGGGGTGTAGGGCTGTGTGTGTGTGAGAGAGAGATCTACAGAGCTCATGTCAGGAATCTGGGTCTTTGTCAGAGGTTTCTGGGTCTTTTAAGGGTAAAGGTCTTTGTTACGATCATTCCTAGAGGCATCTGCCCCTTTGTACATATTAATGAAAAGCTAGCAGTAATGATGAGTAGATAGGAAGACTGTGGGTAGATTATTCATGGGTCATCAATATTACTTAAAAACTGCCCATTAAATGAGACTCATCTCTTAGAGTAAAATGGCTGTCCAAGTGCCTAATCAGGGCCAAAGGTACAAAGGGAGAGGAAGGTACACTCTGGCTATCAAGTCCCTCTGAGCCACCTCACTTAAGACTTGTACCTCAATAATCTCCTAGCTAGGAATGCAGAAAAAAACATTCTAGACTGTTCTAAGGACTATAGATAAAGCCCCATGATACTAATGTAATTCAAGAAGTAGGCTGTTCTGAAACTGTCCTATCCATGAAATAAGTACATCAAGGGGCCACCTGTGGGATATAGCAATGTGTCTTAGAAGTTCCCATGCACTTACAACCAGCATGAGATTCCATGCTGACTTCTCCATGCATAAGCAGTGTAGCATGAGCTGTATCCCATTCTTGCACCCTCTTGATCCTTACAGAAAGGGTATGTGTTTACTGAACACATTATATGGATACACACACACTGCAGCTCACTTAATTCCCATTACCAGCTTCTAAGATATTTCAAATCAGAAAAACTGAAGGTTTACTAAGTAATATGCCAAAGGCCATACCAACAGTGTTAATAGGGCTCATGGTGGTTAATGCTTGATGGAATCTATTTATTATTACCTCTGAGACTCAGTATAACCTACATTAGGTTAATTTAGGTTGGAAGATTCCCTGGCTGAGGGTGCCACAATTCCACAGACTGAGGCCTTGAACTGAGTAAGTGAGAAAACAAGCCAGGCATTCACAGCTCTCTCTTGACTGCAGAGTTCTGACCAGCTCCTTCAAGGTCCTGCTACCTCAGCTTCCCTCCCACAAATGACTGCTCCTTCAACTGGGAGCCAGACTAAGAATAAACCTTTCTGCCTTTAAATTGCTCTTGTCAGATATTTCATCACAGCAGCAGGAAAGGCAACTGAGACAGGGCTAAAGCTAACTTAACATTTATCTGCTTTGTTGGAGAAGTAAGAAGTAGATACTCCATGGACAGCATTTCTGGGTAATTAAGGGACCATGGTTTTTAATCTCTGGGATTTCAATCTTCCTGCTGAAGAATGATTCAGGATCCCGGGATCAAGTTTAGGCTAGGCCACTGAAGTACAAGTTATCTGGTTTTTACTAATCCATAACCAGACTGGATTCCTTCCCCACATCCTACATCTGTTCTCCATGGAAGTTTCCAGGAAAATCCTTCCCTTTGCTTGTGAGCCCATCCTGAGGTATTCAATAAGTATAAAGATAGGGAAGGGGGAGGGGGGTGGGGGTGATATTCCCACCCCAATCCAGAAGAGACTGCTAATAGACACCATTTGTCATTGGTTAGTGACATGGAAGCACTCCCCTACAACATGCCTAGACAGAAATCTCTCCTTTGTTATCTTTCTCAGAACATTGAGGAAGGCAGTAAGAAAGATTCCAGTCCACTGCTCCAAGACATAATGGCTCTTCTGTGGAGAGTAGAATGTACTGCTGCTGTTTTTACAACAAATAGTGGTCCTCAATAAGGCAGCTGTGCCAGCCTCTGTCCATGCACATAAGGGGACAGAAACAATAGGGTGCTGATTGTCAGCACACTTGGGCCATGTGCCCAGGCTGGAGGCCCCTCCATACCCTGGCTGACCATAAGGGCAAAAAGAAAAAGGGGCAATTTATAAAAACACAGGGAATTTCTCAAAGTTCCCTGTGTGCTCAAGTGAGTATGCATGTGCACTTGTAAACACACTCAAAGACACAGTATTCACATCTTGTTCTACCACACAAACCAAGAAGACTTTACGAGTCTGCTTTACAGGAGGCAGAAAAGTCCTGAGAGATGGCGGGCCCTTGTAGCATCTTTCACTAGAGTTGTGGGAAGAAGCCAAGCTCTATGTTTTAGAAGCAGCTGTCTCTGAGCTATGAAAGCTTCCCTGGTTAAACAAAAAGTACCAAAGTACTAGGGTCACATGAACTGGCTACAAGAAAGGATGAATGCCAGAAGTGATCTTCTCTGGGCACCTAAGGCTTTTTGGTTTTGCTTTGAATGTTCTTTATTATATAACAGACCCACAGAAGCAAAGTAAACTCCAATGTGAAGACCTAAGAGTTAAATGTAACCATAAACAGAAAGAAATCTAACTGTAAATCTTAAAAATTCAATGTCCTTTGGCTCTTTTCTTTTCTATCACATTTTAAAATGATATAATTTTTTTTTAAATAGCTTCCCTTGCAAGGACCAAAGTTTTCAAACAAGTTTCCTGATACTCAACAGTTACCTTTGCTATTTCATTCATTGATTCAAGCAAAGTTTAACTTTGCTGTTCCACAATTTTGTAAGTATATGAAAACACACTGAATCACCTTAAAGATGTGAATTTTACAGTATGTGAATTCTCTCTCTCTCTCTCTCTCTCTCTCTCTCTCTCTCTCTCTCTCTCTCTCTCTCACACACACACACCACACACACACACACACACACACACACACACACACACACAGACACCTTTAACTCCACCAAATGTGTTCTGTTGAGGTTGAGTACCACTTTGCCAACGAACACGGAAATGGCCCCAGACTCCATAAAGAATTTTGGTTTCTATTTCTCTACTTTCAGGGTTAAATCACTTCTGAATTGAATAATTATTAAAGCAAATTGTACAAACAATGTGTCTGGGCAGCAGGCTTAGCCATGACACTAAACTCCACTGGCTAGCACATCACTATTCTACTATTTTCAGAGGATGTCAGATCAAAATATGGCAAGGAATACTTTACATTCAAACTCAGGATTTGAAGACATAGCCACTAGTGTTTCCTCTGGGGCAGTTCTGCCTCCTTGTCCATGCCTGGTTATTGCTCAGACACTACTAAGTACACCTGTCTTAGGAGTTAGAAGGAGGTTTGTATCTTACTTAGAAAGGATGCTGCTGACAAGTTTCAATAAGGGTATAACTGGAAATTACTGACAGTTTAGCAAAAATAGTCAAGGCCCTGCCTCACTGACAATCATGTATCCTTTAAATGATAATACCTTCCAGTGGG